AGTGAGTTAGGAGAGTTGGTGATCTCTTGGACAAATCACCGAAGGTGCCAAGATAGGTTCATCACGAGCAGGAAGGAACAAGGGAAAACAGGAGGTTTTCCCCGTGGACCGACCCGTGACGAGATCCTATTCCCGGGCCCGCAACATTTTTCTACCCTAATAATGCTTAAGGGTGGTAGAAGCTAGAAATGCTTAAGGGTATACACCTCTGTGTTTTAAAACATAGGTCTTGAAATGGTAACAAATTAGAAAATAACTTCTTTAAAGAAAAATAGAACCTGAAACTGATGTAAAGCCTATTCATATAACAAACACAAAGGATGTCATCTCTACTAGAATAGTTGAATAAGCTAACACCATTTGTTTTAGCTTGGCTACTATCAGTTGCCAAGTTGTTTTTGCAAGATTGAAATGGTAGGGCCCTTTTGATTCCCCTGAATTTGTCCTGAACTTGTTTTGTTTTTTGTAATTTTTGGAACCTTAAATCCTTTTTAATCAACTATGTTTTACAAACCATTCTGCCCTCTTAACCCCTCTCCCCCAGCAAAAAAGGAAAGGCAAAGAAAAAGACTCAGCAGTTCAACTTATCAAGATATCAAATTTCTTCAGCCCTCCAAAAACTATAAAGGATTTAAAGTTGTATTTGCTTTAAATAAATTTGTCAAAAACACAAACTGAGTTTAGTTTGATCATGCCAGTTGCAATATCTTACAATGAAGAAGAAATGGCTGGAAATGTGTCTTATCTCATGTCTGTCTTCTTCAGTCTTACATGATGAGTTGGAATTTGATGCATTCACAGACTGTCTCAAAACGATACAATGAGGGGCTTGGGGACACGTCCAAACTTGGAATTGGCTATTAAAAAGTTTCTGCTTTTTTTTTTTTGTTGAATTCTTTCACCATATACTTGTATAAGATTGATATGTAAATCTAAAAGCTTATTTTTGTTACCTTGAAACATTCTATAAGAAGAGATGGAATTAATTGTGTATTAGATGTTCACTTATGCTAATCACTAATGTATGAAAAATTGTAATCATATAATAAATTGTAGACAAGGTTGAATCAAATCAAATCGTTAATCTTATTGTAAATTGTAAGGTAATTTCTGCTTTTAATCTTGCCAAGAAATTAAAAGTATATGCTAGTGTCATGCATCTTCATTTTTCTTAATATAAAAGATTTTTATTAAAAATAAAGAAAAATGAGATCCTCCTTCCTCTTCATCTCCTTCCTCTTAAGGAGGTTTATGCCTCTTACATTCTGAATTATGCCTTACGCCTCTAGGTAGTGGAAAGCCTCGCGTCATGCCTCTGCATTTTAAAACATTGGTTCACACTTAGCATAAGCTACTAAGTTATAGTTTTTTATGCGTTTATACCTTATTATTTTCATGAAGACTTGTGCTTAGTGCTTTTTATGTATTTTTAGATTTATTTGTTTCCCTAGCATATATGCATGAATATCTTAAGTGTATCTTGATACATCTCTTAAAATTGCCTTTCTAATGCTTAGAACATTTTTCATGGTTGTACTTCTGTTGAGGGTCATTTCTCATCTCCTTTCAACTTCAACAGGATACTTAACTTAGCTTGGGTAATCTCATTTAAAGATGGGTGAGATCAACCAGCAAGTTGGCTAATGTTTTCTCTTTTGGAGATGACTATGTTATCTGTTTCTGTGCTTTTGATTTTCTGTACTTGTCCTAACCGGAGGTTCATTTTTTCAGTTTGATGCTTCCTTGCCCATGCTGAGTTTGTACTTGCAAGGAGAAACTGGAAAAGAGGGCAGGTTCAGGAGCAATAGTATACCCATTTATGTTAATGGGGAAGTGATTATTACATCCTATCATTGGTAAGTTTTGTTCTCCTAATAGTGAATCTCCAATACTACACCTTCCTCATTTTTTGTTAATGGTTTTTGGAAGAATGTTCAGAAAATCTGAGTGATGCACTTTTAAGTATGAACAACAATAGACAAAGTTTGCGTCAAATCATATATATGTTTCCATCCCTCACTTGAACTCATGGATGCTATTAGCACTATGAAATGACACTTGCCTCCATTGGTTTGTCAACAGGAACTAACACAATGGTAAAGCCTACCTGAAATCTCGGCTGATCAAGAAGAGATGCAGCTTTGATTGTTTTATGGGGCTGGCAGGTTTTTCTCATTTTGGTTTTTATCATCCATTGATATTTGAATAAGAAATTGACATTAGAAAACTGAAGAAAATGGCCATACGAGCAGTATTGTCTCAATTCAGGAAGTGTTTCGAAGGATTCTAGAGGTTACAAATAAAATAAGCAAAATTTTGTGAATCACATTCTTATCTCTTGCCTGTGTAATGGTAGACTCTTAGGCTGACCAGTGTGAACCTGGGGTTTGAGTCTGAACTCTGAAAGCCAGCTACTATGTGCAAAAATAAAAAAAAAATAAAAAAAAAGAGGAAAAGAAAAGATAAAGGTTAGGTGATTAGGTCCATATATCCAGTCCACCCTTCGAGACCGATGATAGCTGGGATCAACATTGGTAATGGCCTTTTGGCCCTTTTCTACATTTTTTATGTCACGACGGGATGCTTGTTCTTGCAGAATATGTGCAGAGTTTTTGCTTGCAGGAAACCCGGGTTCTTTTCTGTCGGCGTACATTCAAATTATACGTGCATTTCTATTTAGTCTTTGTTTGGTTTATGACAAAATTATTGAAATTGGGAAAGTTGTGCATAATATCCTCAAGGGGAAAATCTATGACGTGGGAAAGACAGTATCGGAAGAGACGAAGAGTTTTGACCAATCAAAACTCAACCATGAATTTTGTTAAACACCACCTGATTGGTTAAGACGTTAAGACGTTTATGATTTTAGTTGATTGGTCAAAAGATTTTCATATTTTTCCGATACCATAGTTGAAACCTTTCTATGAAATTACTTTACAGTAGGGATGGCAATTTTCTGTCTTTACTAGTACCTGGCCTCCCTGATCCGATCAGGTTGGATATGGAGATTGCTTTGGTGGAGACGGGATAAATTCAAATACTCGATTGTGGATGGGATGAGAGTGAAGTCCCCGATTGGAGACAAGGATGGGTGCGAGGTCCTTGACCCAACCTAATTGTAATATTTTAAATGTTTTTTAAAATATTTTTTGTATTTTAAATTATATATATTAAATATTTTAAAATATTATTTGTATATATGTTTTAAATTGATTTATATTCATTTCAACTCAAATAGATATTAGTTAAGTGTTAAACTAATTTAGATTAATGATTCTTTTTCCTTTTTTAAGTAAATCCTTTTCCAATGCAAACCTTTAGGTTATGTTTGGTTTGAAGGAAAAGGTAGGGAAAGGAAGGGAAAGACAGAGAAACTAATACAAGGTTTGTAAAAGTTTCTCTACCTTTCCCTTCCTTTTCTTCCATTTTCCTTCAGACCAAACATAGCTTTAGTAAAAATAAAAAAGGAATTCAAAGATTCAGATCTTGAAGGAAAACTAGTCACCATCGGGAATCGTAGATGAAATTTCATTTTTCTCCTTGAGAGGGATTGGGGTTGGGGGCAAAGAGTTAATTAGAGGGTGTTTGGTAACATGAATATATCATGGATGGGATTGTTTTAGTCCTCTCCATGATAGAATGCGATGTTCCGATTTATGTGGACAGTCTGTCCATAAAATAGTATGGATAGGGATGGGCCACACCCCAATTTATTTCTCATGGATGGGCCACACTATGACGCAGACAGTTTATGGAAAGGATTTGGTGTGATGCACTTGTGTTACATTGGTCCAATTACCTTTATTTTATTTAATCTTTAACATATTTTCATTTATATTGAAATTCTTTTTTAAATTGTTTATTATTGAAGATAATATTATAATGATTTTTCTAAGCATTGAACCATTTTTTATTAATCAAAATGGTTTTATACTTTTATATAAATTCATCTTATATATATTTTATCCCTTAATAATTGACATAAATGACAAATGTATTTATTTTATATTTATTAGTAATTATGTATTGGTGTTTTTTTTATCCATATTATTTTATATCATTATTCTAAATTATTTTTGGCTTAAATTATGTTTTATTTCATTCATGATTGATTGTATAATCCACAAGCTGCATGTGAGATGTATGGAATCAATAAGTGTAGCCCACAAACTGTCTATCCCTCGTGGGTATAAACAATTTTTATTTATAGTTCAGAACAACTTCAGTTGTGTGGTGTGGATTAATCCTTACCATAGGGTGTAGTTTAGATCAGTCTATATCCATCAATTTCTCATCCACATTACAAAACACCCCTTTAAAAATTGGGATCGAAATTTGGAGATGAAGAATATGAACTCTACCCAAACCAGACCCGTTGCCTTTCCTAACTTCTCCATTTCAATACTTTTCTTAGAACCCAAATAAAGAGTGAACCAGGCGATGTTACGGGCGGTAGAGTCTTGGGCGTGGGACTAGGGTTCAAAGCATCGATATTCACAGTTTTATTAGCTTTCAATTGATCCACCATTATTTTATGCCTATTACTACTATTTAACTTTGATAGATGCCTCTAAAAGCTATCATTTAGCATATTGCTTGGTACAAAAATTGATACCAACTAGTGAATGACCCATACAATGACCCATACTAAGGTAATTACATATATATATATATATATATATATATATATATATGAATAAACATTAATGATTTTTATTATCATTTTTTATTATTATTTATAAATTGTCATTTTTTATGACATTCATACAGTCTACGGGTCCACATAAATTGACCCTTATATGTCAAACCCGCAAAATTATACGGGTTATTAAATTCAACTTGAACCGTTTATTACATTAATTTAACCATTCTTATTCTTATTATTAATTTATTTTAGTATTTAATTTAAAATTTTTTGTTATATAGTAACAATAATAACTAAATTTGTAATTACTTAAAATAAAATTTTCCAATCGAGTATAATTATTATATAATAGATTTATTAATTCATATTTTGCATTTAAGAATAAACATTAATGATTTGGCTTAACAATTTTAAT